TGGAAAGGAATCATCTACTATGAGCTGCTTCCATATGGCCAAACACTAAATTCGGACCTCTACTGTCAACAATTGGACCGTTTGAAGCTAGCGATTGATCAGAAGCGGCCAGAATTGGCTAACAGGAGAGGTGTTGTACTTCATCACGACAACGCCAGGCCACACACATCTATAGTGACTCGCCAGAAACTCCGGGAGCTTGGTTGGGAAGTTTTGATGCATCCACCTTATAGTCCAGACATGGCACCAAGCGATTACCATCTTTTTTTATCATTACAAAATTTCCTTGGTGATAAGAAATTGGCATCAAGAGAGGATTGCGAAAATCACTTAGTCAAGTTTTTCGCCAATAGGGACCAGGGCTTCTACGAGAGAGGAATTATGAAGTTACCTTTAAAATGGCAAGAAATTATAAAACAAAATGGTGCATATTTGATCCAAGTCGAACAACCGGAACCATGTTAAATAAAGACTTGAAATGAACGTAAAAATAATGGATTTCTTTTTCCCCAACCTAAAATATATAGGTACTAATGATGTATATACTTATATTCTAATACTGTCTGTATATTCATGAATGTGGTTTACCAAATCAAACAAAACAACAGTTCTTGGAGTGTTCAAATTTATTCATATTTGTCTAAAAATTCCAAAATAGATATTTTAAACTCCTTTTTTTCTTTAGGATTCATTTTTCTCATTAATTCTGACATATTTGTAAAAACTGATTCTACAAAAATGTCATCACTATTGCGATTCTGAATGTTCATTAGATAGGGTTGACACAGCTGACAAAGTATTTAGTATGCTTGTCTCTAGTTCAACATTATCAGTTTCTGTTGTTTTTTTTTTCTTTTCATATTTGTCAGGTGAGTTGATATGTCACCTACAGAAGTTGATGGACCATCACAATAGGTTGCAACACCATCACAAATGTCATCCTGTTCACACACTGATACATCTCTCGTTAATGTATCAAGTGTATTCCATGGGGATGTGTCTGCATCTCCATGGAGTACACTTGTACTCTCATGGAGTGCTTCAACATCGGTCGATGGTGCATAATTACTTCGAGTCCTGAAAGCCAAAAAATTTATTTGAGAATACTGTGCAATATCATAAAGCAGTGTTTCTCAACTTGTGGTCTGTGGACCACATCTAGTCCGCAATGATGGAGCAGGTGGTTTGCAGGTAGACATAAAGTAATAAAAGATTAAAACTTTGTTAAATGATGATTTACTTTTAATAGTTTACTTCTAATTTAATTAATTGTTTTCATGTGTATTTAAAGCATGATTTTAGATTTATTGTGTTATAAATGGGACAGTATGTCCCAAATAATGGTAATACCTACACAGGTTTAAAAAATTGAGGCCTATATAACTTTTTCAGACATCTGAAGGTTGAGAAACACTGTAATAAATGCTTCAAAATATAGTCAACTACAGCATACTTACTTGCGATGTTTTACAATATTCTTTAAAAACATCATTGACTGATATAATGGCCATACAGGCTGCGAGGCTTTTCCGCTCCCAGATGGGGTATATCGGCGATCTTCTTTCCCGAAGCGTTCTCGTAACAGTTTCCATCTCGCCTGGGCTTCAGACACTGAAAGATGCTATATTTTCAAATACCTGCACGTACCGTACAATATATATCTACTCTATATACATTTGGTGACTACATACCTGTCAATTGGACAGTCTCCGCCACGGTCTTCCATGAATTACTTTTTTTTTTAATGTCTTTAAAGTCTGTATGACTTTTGTCATAAATAAATGGAAATTCTTGTATAGCTTGAATTAATAAATTGTCACCTAAATATTCTCCTGACTTCTCCATCGTAGTAAAAGCAGTTAAAAATGGCAAAACAATAAATCGATGTTTGAACACTCGAAAAATGGCAGAACTTACAAATTGTAATCGTAGTTGATGGTAATAACTGTTGCCAGATCAAGCAAAAAGTAACAAATTGATTGAAAAGTAACTTTTGACTGACAATTCTATTTCTAAAATATAAAATTTTAAGATAAGAATTACTTTGGTCATAAAAAAATAGAAAAATTATAAAATGAATAAATAATTATAGTGTTAGATCTGGCAATATCTTTAGATGATTTTGCGCATGCTCACAATGGACTGCTCCGTAAACCGTAAGAAAAGTTGTTCCCTTACGGATACGGAAAAGCCCTTACAGTAGTTTATAACTATTGCTATAGATATCCAGTGTAGCAAACATTTATGGATACGGTTACGTTATGGAGTTTATAACTCGACCCTAACAAATTGTCGCCCCTTCAACGTAGTATCGCCCCCTTCGCTTCAAAATTTCGACGCCCAGGGCCAAAGGCTAATGCCATCTAATAGACTAGTGACTAGTATAATGTTATTTGTTTAATTATTGTACGATATAATGAATAAAGTATCTAATTATTCTTAATATAATGTTTTAATATATCACCCAGAAAATTGTTTTTGCCCCCCAAAATATAAATTGTTCCTAATTGCCCCTCAACATGGAAAAACACCCACATGGGGGCGATATCGTCCCCGTTGAGAAACACTGATTTAATTTGATCCAACGCGACACGCTCAGAATCGATCGCGCGTTAATCAATATGGCGGCGGGACTAGATTCAGTTACTTTTTCATTTGAGACGTTCATTAAAGTGTGTTATTTTAATGCAATTTTTATATTTTTACGATATATATGCTGGACTACGATTACATTTTCGATTTCTACATTTTCTCAACTATCTAAAAGTATAAAATACTTATGGGTAAAAACTGGTGATGTGCCGGATATCCCTATCTATCCGCGGATGGGAAAAAAGATCCGTATCCGTACTCGTATTCATTACTTTTTAGCGGATCTTTAACGGATCTTTTATCTTAATGAATTTCATTACTTATTATTATTTTATTGCTACCTATTTCATATAACTTCAATTCAAATCACTTTTTATTTTGGTATTTTTGAAACCGTGTCAGTAATTTATTTCAATTCAAACACAAATTATTTATCGTATTCATACAGACACTTGGCAAATCACAGAATTAAATTTTATTTAGTTGATTTTAATTCAAACACAAATTATTTATCGTATTCATACAGACACTTGGCAAATCACAGAATTAAATTTTATTCAGTTGATGCACTTTTTATTTCTTAAAATCACATATTTGGCACATTCATATTGTAAAAATTTTATCATGCGAAAATCATTTACTATCGTAAAATATTTCCATATTACACTACTAAACTTTTTTGTCAACAATGTTTTTATTTTAATTTAACTCAACACTCTCCAAAAACACAAATGTAATCTATGCTGTCCCGTGTCACACTAAATTATAAACAAAAACACGCGCAGTGCAAGTCAAAACACATCGCATTACTAACGCAAAGCGTCACCATCAGTCCAAGGTCACACACACTGGCACCGACTGGGTTTGGTTTGGTTTGCAAATGTTAAGAAGGCGGTACCAGTGGCTTAGCCTTTGAAAGGAAGTAAGAAGGGGAAGGTATAGGGTTTTGGTTGAAGATGGGGCAAGAAAGATAGGAAAGTGTGAAATAATGATTAATGGCCAGCCAGCATCGAGCCCCATATATTGAGACCATAGAGTAAAGTATATAAAGAGTGGGCCAAGGCCTAGTTAATACCGAGTATATGCTCCGTTATTGGAGTAGATGCATTAAGAAATAATAATAATAATGATAGTAATAATAAAATAAAGTAAAACATTGAGGAAAACGAAGAATGAACATGCGAGTTACAAAAGTTTATCCCGACAATTGATTGTGGCGGAATACAATGAGAAAATAATAATAATAATAATAATAATACATAGCATGTTCTCTAACCTTGGAGTGTATACATTAAAATAAATAATAATAAATGAAAATAAGAATATAACATTAAGAAAAAAACGAAAAATTTTCATGCGAGGTACAAACTTTATCCTGACAATTGACTGTGGCGGAAAACAATGAGAAGAGATCGTGACAACAGAACAGCAAACACAGTGATTTCACTGCCCTGGAAGTCTGTAGATCTAACAGCTGACTTGCTACAGGTAATATGAGGTAGATTCCCCTAGATGGTTTCTCCTTTTACAGAAGCAGGGGTCAAAACCCTGTTGACGCGAGAAAGAATAAATTATACAAACACATTTCACGAGGAGGGCACGTGTAGATTAGTTGTGAGCCCCCATAGGAATAGATGGTCGTTGGCTTGAAGCTGGACTAGAGAAAAAAACTGGGACTGTGATCTGTTTCTTTTATAAAGTCTTTAAAAGCTGAGAAAGTTTCAGTGTTGCATAAAAAGTCCTTACACCTACAGGGCCAATGGTGTCCCTGTGTGTACATCCTCTGCACTAGGAGTTTATGGTGATTATGTTTTGGGCAGTTAAACAATACATGGTACGGTGTTTCTTCTTCTACTCCACAGTCACAAATGCCATTTCCCTTGCTCAAGAACCTTTTTAGATATTGTTTAAAATTACCGTGACCAGTAATAAATTGGGTAGTATGAAAGTCCGGTGTAAAGTGTTCCATGTTGTTCCTTACTTTTACGTCGGGAAAAAAGCCAAAGATGTTCCTGCCAGTTGTATCCGTATTCCACCTCTCCTGCCACCTGTTAACAGTGTAGTCGTGTATGTAAGAATGCCGATTGGGGGGGAGATTTTTATTCCCTACCGTCGGGATGGTCTAAGGTCTTAGCATATGTGGGTGGCGGTTTTTAAAGGCAGCAAAGACAAGTGTTTACAAAGGTAAACCGTTTATTCCGGACGATAATGCTTAAATAATTTTTTTGGCAAAGGTCCTTAAGTTCAGAACTTTGGGTTGTCTTCGTAAGTTGTTTTCAGTGTCGATCTGGTCCTACGCTGGCCCCGTGACTGCGTCGAGTGAGAAGTTCGAGATCTGAAGTGACAGCACACAAAAGATGAAAGGAAGCACGACAGCTGTCGACAAACGAACACAACAGGTAGTCTAGGTGGAAAAGTCTTAGTGGAAGTCCCGTTGTCCTTGAATTTTGCGTTTTTATATTTTTTTGCGATCGGCTCCTTGTCAATTAGATAGGTCTTACATCACCGTTTTCCAATTGGTCATCCACCTGTCTCCAGGTGTAAATGGAGTTTCGTTAAGTTTGTGGAAAAGGTCGGCTGGAGATGGTTTATCCGACATCATCTTTTCGAATCTGATCGTGTTTAATTGTTGACTATGACACCTTCGCTCATCTAGACATTTTTTAATCTAGTTTTGTTTTGCTTTCTAAACTGCGTCTTAACTTTTAATATTTTAAATTTTCTTCTTTTTATATCTAAAATTTGGTTTTTCTGTCAATTTTTGATGTGCGTCGACGTCAAAGTTGGGTGTTGCCGATTCGACACTTATAATTTGCTTTCCTGACGATTTAACATAACAAATTTTTACATATCTTTCCTTTATTGCGGGGCTATTTCTAGGGTCACATGTAGTTGGCTTTTAACCCAGCTATGGGGTACAAGTAGGGAATTCGATCCCAGTCCTTATTTCTAATCCCGGGATTTCGGGATTATACTTAGTCGATCCCGGGATTATTTCGGTATTGAGGGTTAATAAAAAATAAGAAAATCTTACAGAAATCAACAAATCAAAATTTAGACAAAAATCAACATATTTTACAGTATACACCTAGCTAATTTAATTACTCTAACTAATCAGACTCAGAGTCAGACTAACCAGACTTAAAATCACTCAGTCTTCATGTTAAATTTATTCTTTTTTAAGCATCACTGAGATCTCTTTAAACTCACATAAATTGAAAAAACCTTTATGTAACAAACTATGCAAATAAACATTGAAAATTAACAAAAATCTCTCTTAACATCGACTAAATAGACTACTTTCATATAGCAACCTAGTAAGTAGGTAGTAAGATAAGTTTCTTAGCAAAAAGTATTTAAAAATAATATTAATCAGTCACATTTTTCTTAAATATAAAGAAAACTAATCTAATAGGAACATTCTAATTTGAATTGCGAAAATATGATCTGAGAAATAACAATGCATCCTGTGTCTCATCACCAAGTCTGCTTCTCAATTTGTTGCACATATATGCAGCTGCTGAGAAAACGCGTTTAGGTTTGATGGAAGTTGGAGGAATCGTTAGTAAATACTTATAAGCCCGTTCTAGTTATAGCTTCGAGGACACGGGGAGGTTGGAAGAAAGCAGTCCGGTCGACACGGATTGAGATTGTAGGAGTAAAGGCTACAATTGATTGTTTCGATCATTGTAAGCATGCCTTTCTAAAAATAAACACGTTAATTTTGTAAATTCGGTCTCTGTGTGAGTCTCTCAGCATCCAGCAAACCACTACTCCCAAATGTAAAAAGACTTTCTCGCATCATCCTGACAGATCACGGGCAAGGCGGGGGTCGTAACCTTTTCACCTAAGGTCGACCCCCCTAAGCGAGAGGCGTCGGGTCTATATTAACCACACTGGCAAAACAAGATGGCTGACACATTGACAGGTAAAACACACTGAGTAGTGCTCTCGACTGCGCCAGAAAATCGATTGGCGCCCGCGAAAATTCAAAAATAAAATACAAGAAGTTTTATTACAAGCAAGCATCGCAAGCCCGCTAGGTTAATTTCTGCTGCTTGCTTGGAATAAAATTTCTCATATTTTATATTAAAATGATAGGCAAGCAATTCTGTAAAAGCACTGGCACTGAACGTTTCGCTTCATGCAGTCTATTTTGCAACTTTTTTAAAATGATGTCAATTTCGAAAATCTCGGGATTAGGAAAACTTAATCCCGAAAATTTTGGGACTGAAAAGTAGTCGAGATCCCGGGATCCCGATTTTCGAGATCCCGGGATTAAATCCTCTAGGTACAAGGTTGAAGGAAGAATTGGTTAGGTTCTTGCTGGCTTTTTTCGCAAGAAAGTCGGCTTTATCATTGCCGGCTTCCCCTGAGTGTCCTTTTATTAATTGTAGCTTGATTTTGGTATATTTGTTTTTTAGGTTGGTAAGCATGTGGATGATATCCTTGATTATTTTTAGATTAGTATTCAGAGATTTTATTTGGGTTA